TTATGACACCTGGTAAGTTTTATTTTCTTCTTTGGATTTAAGAAATTTTAAGCAGAGATTTAAGAATTTAAAATAATATACAAAAAAAAAAGTAATGACAAAAAGCAAAAAAGAGAAGATGTTTATTTAACAAAGTTTTAGATGGAATGGTAGACCAGAGAGATTTGGGATATTGGTTATTTTTGCTGTAAGATTTGAAAAATAAATATATAATTTATTCAATATACTTATGGAAAATGACTGAAATGGAACTAAACCTATATTAGGAATTGAGGCTTGATGTAGCCTGCAAATGGACACTAGAGGGAACTAAAGGACCAAGCAGAAAAGAGCTAAAATGGCTGCCAGTTATAATTTTATCTTATCCTTAAGAAAGTTTTTGCAATATGGACTGAAATATTAACAACTAATACACAATAACTAATAACTAATATTTCAGTAAGGATACAAACTTAAGTGGATATACTTTTAGAAAATATAGAGAAAAACTAAAAAAAAAACCCTTGTACCTGCCACAAACATTATAGAGTCAGGGCAAGGCACGGAAGGCAATAAAATCGAGATTTCCAAAACAGGAGTATCAAAGGCAAATCAAAAAAATCTGGGAGGAGGAAGGGATGGAAGGAAGTAGGATGGGAGGAAGGGATGAGGGGAGAGAGGTGAAGAGAGGAGAGAGGGAGGAGGGAAGTAAGGAAGAAAGGTAGAGAGGGCGGATACGGTTGGGGGGAGATGGACGAGCGACACCTAAGGTTTTATGTATGAATTTATTTCAAAGGTATTTTTTTATAATGTATTGAATGTATCAAATGTATTGAAAAATTAAAAATAATTTTTTTTTTCAAAAAAAAAATCTGGGCATGAAAACAGCTGTGACAAGAAATCCTGGAAAATGCCTCTTTATAGGATTTACAAAGTAGGCTGGTTAAACCTTTGAAGAATCCAAAGTTATGAAACATCAAATCCTGAAATGCCATAGGAATATTTAAGTCAAGGAAAAAAGAAAGAATACAAAGTTGGGCTATTTGACCAGGGATAAGCTATTTATTCGATATTTCTACTAGTCCTTAGTAGACTTTGCTGAATTAGGATTGAAAAGATGATGATTTCTAGATTGGGTTTACTTTCAAAAGTTAGGCTATGGGGAGAAGATTTTTTTTTAATTTGTAATTTTAAGAGGGTGAAAAGTTAACATACTAGCTTATGCTTGGTGTGATGAAGGTTGGAAACACTTCTTCATTATTGTCTTTGTTGCTTTTTTTTCCCCTTTCCTTTTCTTTATTCTGAACTTTCTGAACTTTTATTTTTATTTCTTTTAGTTTAGTTTATATTCATTTTTACTATGTTTATTACTTTTTTTATAATCATACCCCAGTAATAGAAATTTTTTAAATGTGCTTATATTTTCTGCAAAAGTAATTGGAAGATTTTATTATTTAATTCTTTCTTTCTGCACTTTTGCTTTTCTTCTTTCTTTACTTTTTTTGCCCTTTATTACCTTGTGTCAACTTTCATGTGGTTTGCAAAACTTAAATATTAAAAAAAGTTTTACTATGTTTGTTAAAGACTTCAATAAAGTTATCAACCAAAAGGAATACTGGCTGCTGTGAAAACTTCCATAGAGCAATCCCAGAAAAACATCTGTTAGATCAAAACAAACTGATTCCAAATAGATGAATCTGTGCATTACACTTTTCTACAGGGCGGAAATTTTCCTTTTGAAAAACTGTTGTAGGATTAAGAAAAAAGAAAGTCAGCTATGCAACATTGGGATACTCCAGCAAGCTCACACGGACACCGTGGGACATTAACTGCTTAATAAACAGAACTGGGGAAAATAGGAGAAGGGAGTGTTAGGTATGTTAGCTGCCTTGAGTTATTTATCAAAATAATAAAAGCTGGAAATGAATACATAAATAAAATATGTTCATTATATTAGGCATGTAGGATAAGTCACAGCAACCTTCACCTCCCTTCTTTTCCTGTGCATCTCCGAAATTGGATATTGAACTTTATATTATACAAATGTTATATTCACTACCTAAATTGCAGCCAATCTTAAATACAATAAGAAAAAGCAATAATGTGAATAAAATTTGATCTGAAGCTGAATTGTTCCCATTAATCTAATAAAGTCTAAGTAAAATTTGTCTATGTTTGTCCAAAGCTTCTGAACTTGGGGTAAAAAAAAATTAAATTGTTAATCTGCTGTTCTCTTGTACCTTATTCTCTGTCCTTTCCTCCCATAATCATGTTGGTATCAAGTGCCTTTTGTGACTGAAAGTGGTTCAGCAGGAGAAGACAATGTACGGTACTAGACCATCAAGTGGCACTTGAACTACTTTGAAAATAAATACTGTTTGTTAACAGACTTTTGGCAAGAGTAAAGTGGCTCTCCCTTAGCAGCTTACTAGATGGTTAGATAAAGAGAAAGGAGTTGGCAGAAAAAGGAAGAAAAGGGGAATGCCGTTTTTGGCTCCCACCCTCACTAGCCTCATCTCTTACAGCATTCAGTGTTTGCCAACAGCTTATAAACAATGAAGATGCTTCTCTACTTGGGGGACAGGATACAATGTATATGCACAAATAGAGAAGTGAAGGTGAATAATAACATTCCATGCTCAGAATTCTTGGCAAATGAGGCCGGTCTACTTATAGAGAAAAAGACACCTGATATTTATTTATTTACTTGAATAATTTATTAGCCGCCCGCCTTCCTGAACTAGGGCGGAATCTTAGTCCCATTATTTAATTGTTAAGATTTGAAACTAAATTTGGAGAGATTCAAGTTCAAATCCATCCTTAACCATGGAAGCTCACAGGGTGACATATAATTAGTCCCTATTCCTATTGTAAGGGAGAAAGGGTATCTAGGTAGATCAGTTGAGTTTCTGAAGGAATATAAATCTAAATAGATAAAATATTAGACAACAGCTAAAATGATGATGATGATATTATTACCTGATTATTATTGTAATTAGTGTTACTTCGGTTAACACTATCCTCAGAAGGGCACGTGCGGATCCCTGCAGCTCCTGGAGGCTCCGAGCACTGCTTTTTGCACTGCTGTTTTTGGCGTCACATCTGTGTGTGTGTTTGCCTCGCTGTTTTGGGTGGCACTTTGGGGGATGGTCTATCCCCATTCGCAGCATAGCCGCTGTCCATTCGCCACGTCACCTCTCAGGAGGGCAGCGTTAGCTGCCAATGCAGCGGCAGGGAAGACGGAAGGCAATCCTGTCCACCAGATCAGCCTGGCTGGGGTGGGAAACCAAATGGCATAAAAAGCAGCGCTCAGAGCTTCCAGGAGCTGCAGGGATCCGTATGTGCCCTTTTCAGTCGTCCTCCTGCAGTAGGCCATAGAAAAAAATATGACCCCCCCCCTAAATAAGCCCTAATGCAGTGTTTCTCAACCTTGACAATTTTAAGGCATGTGGACTTCAACTCCCAGAATTCCACAGCCAGCATTGCTGGCTGTGGAATTCTGGGAGTTGAAGTCCACATGCCTTAAAATTGTCAAGGTTGAGAAACACTGCCCTAATGGGTCTTTTGGGCCTAAAATAAATATAAGACCTGGGCTTATTTTTGGGAAAACATGGTAGTTCCTACTTCAAACACAACAGAATTTTATATTCATACATTTCTTAAGTCAAGACATTGCTCATTTCAGCATTTTGTGAAAGATATATCTCCTAGATATTTGGGCTGAAAAAATAACTCTAAAAGTTACTGAGGTTTCTATGAAAATTAATTATGAGAAGTCACCCCAGACTTCCGATAAAGTGGTATTCCTACATTATACAAAGCCATAATCTTTTCCACATATACTTTTTGCCTATTAAAAATGTATATGACTTTTTAATGATTTAACTGCAATATATTTTGATTTCATGCTAGTGATAAATCTTTTGAACACATAGATGGTTTCAGATTGTCTTGAATCATCCTGGAAGAATCACTTGCTTTACTAAAATATCATTTCTGAACTAAAAGTACCGTATATGCCGCCGTATTAGGCAACCCGGCGTATAAGACGACCCCCGTCTTTATAGCCGGGCCGGATTCCTAGAACGTCATCTTATACGCCGGAAACTACCAGTATTTCCGGCGTATAAGACGACTTGGCGTATAAGACGACCCCCGTCTTTGGCGCCGATTTCAGCGCTCGTGGAAGTCGCCTTATACACCGGCATTTATGGTAATCTTCTAAGCCAATACCATTAGAGGTGTGAGTGACTGTGCTTCATATGAGTTTTATTTTTGGGGTCCTGTCATGTGTCCCTATTTTTTTAGGGGGACATCTTGAACCTACTAAAATGAGTCACCTTAATGAACCTAACTCAGCCATTGATTTGAAGTTTGTAGACGGCACTCAAGAACAGCATGTTGACAGAATGCTTCAATTTTTGGCATGGTGTGTGTCTTGCTCCACACAGCATCTCCTCCCTAACTTTCAGACTATGTGAAATCTGTATTCCACTCAACTCTTCGTAAATATGTTAAATTTTAGGACATCTCTGCACTCAACAATATGCAGATACATGTTCATTCTATGAATGAAAGGAGACATACCATACATTGTCTTATATTACATGGTGAAAAGATAATTAGGTTGTCCCTGTTTAATGGTCACAAGTCAATACTAATATGTAAATTAAAAACAGTAATTTCAAAGAAATCCCAACTTACCAGATTTTAACACAACAGACTTTAACACAAGTAGACCAAATTTCTCCAGTTATTTATGTCATTTGTGTAATCGTATCATTAAACAAATGATACAAATGAAGTAAATTGCTGTAATGCTCTGCTTTTCAATTCTATTGGCCATGCATGAATGAACAGCTCCTCTCCCAAATAGTCCAATAAAAAGAGATGTTACTTTATTGAAAAATTAAGAATACCTTTAAAAGATTTAAGTCATAGAAAGCTAATGGCACTATGATATATACAGAAAAATAACTCAAGCATATAAAACAGTATTACTGTATAAAATAATGTCTTACTTCTTTGGTTTCTTCAAGTTCAGATATGCTGGTAAGTTCCTCTGTGTTGAAATGTTCAAAATCAGACTCTCCCACTGCTATTGGTACAGTCACAGTAAGATTTGGGTTATTTATGAATGACAGGTGATCACTGTTGTCCATGCAGCTGGTAGTCATTTTTCTAGGCCTCTGATAACCAAAAGTCTGGTTGATCTCCACTATGGTATGGTTGGGAATGCACTGATCTTTCTTATCATTTTGTTGATCAACTGCACTTAATCCAGAAGCGTCCTTGCATCTTTGCAAAAAAACAATTTGCACAAATTCACACATCTTCCTCTTTACGTAATTGATTCCCCTCTGAATTCTTGATATAGCAATCTGTAGATTATTTGCTTCAGTTTCCTGCTCTGGAGCAGCAAGGCTGTCTGAACTGAAAGAACTCAATAATAATGCCAGGAAGAGGTTTAGCAGCTGGAGGATGGAGTAGGGAAAGAAATTAGTTAGATTCCCCCCCCTCTCTAGTTAATCATTTTGACTTCTTGTTTTTTGACTTTCTACCAATTGTATGCATTCACCTTTTAGTTTCTGATTATAGTAAACAAAAACACCCAATTACTGACCCTAGGTTTTCAACTTTGGCAAACATAAAATTACATTTTCTTGTATGATCGTGTGTGTATGTGAGAGAGAGAGGGGGGGGAGGGGGGGAGAGAGGGAGAGAGAGAGAGAGAGAGAGAGAGAGAGAGAGAGAGAGAGAGAGAGAGAGTGTCTTTAACCAGAATAGGAAGCTGATTCCATTAAAAAAAATTGTATAATAGGATGTAAGTTGGCTGGATGATAACATCACATCAGCACTGTTTTTGAAGATAGAATGGAATGATATAGTGGTTCGAAAATTACAAATTAATTTGTAGAAAAAAAGCAAGGAAAATCTGTGTGATGAAAAGGACAGAACCAACACAAACAAATAACTAAAATACAGACCTGCTAGGGTCCAAGCTAGTTGGGAATTTCTCTCTCCTATAGGTGACTTTTTGAACCAATGTAATTTCTAAAACATTTGCACATTTTCTTATCTGAGATCACAAGTTTCCCCCTGTTGAAATTAATTACATTAACTAACTTTATGTCTGTACTAAATTATGTCTGTACTGTAAACTGTGAATTGTTAAAACATAGTAAAGTAGTAATATTTTACTATGTTTTAATCAGACAAGTAGTAAAATATTCTTGCCTTGTTTATGAAGCCTATAAAGATGTAATATAAGATAAGATAATCTTTATTGTCATTTTTTACTGTGGGCACATTGGTACACATTAAAAATGAAATTTTGTTTTTTGCTCTCAAAAATGTACACATGCATGACACACATTTAAATATGCTACATACAACGTATGTATAAACTTACACCCTTATATAATTTAGTTACTTGAAACAGAAACAAGATTGCCCATCATATTTTTGCAATTACGATAGAGGAAATCGAAGGTGCAATATTTGAATTTGAGTTGCACAGACTTTTAAGTTTAGCATTATGTCAGAATCAACACTGTACCCATCACAGTACTTTAAGGCTCTGACAGCTATCTACAGTTGCAGAAGATATCATCATAAACAACCACCTTAGTGATTTTTAAACTCTATCTGCCTATATAATGGGCATGGAATATCTGTGGTACTAGTATATTATCCATCATATAGTTTGAAACAGGAAACAGCTATAGCTCCCTAAGATACAGTCACTAAAATATTTTGCATGACCATTTGTCTGGTGTTGTAAATTCTGAATGCTTTTTGCAATAGTCTTAGAAAAGTGGTAAAAATGAAATTAAAGTACACTAAAAAGTTTTAATTAAATGACTATCTGAAATAGCTAGAGGTGAGAACTTGGGATAGATGGAGAACTGCAGAAGCATAATTATACACACATACATGTAACTTCTTAAAGAAGTTAGTGTCTTTAATTAGAAAATATTGATGCTTCATGGTCACCACAAGCTTTGGTACCCACTGCTCTACTAAAAAATTACATATGCAGGAGACCTTTGACAGCAACTATTTCCTTTTTCACCTATTTCTCTGGTGGGCATGCATTTCTTTATTTATGCCACCAACCATCATCATAGATCAAGAGAATAAACCATAAAAAGGCAGGCATGAAAGAGTTTTCTACTTCTAGGGTATTTTACTAATTTGGAGCACATGCAGGCATTATGTTGCACAACAGGTCTCAACTGGTTACAGTGAAAGTCTCCCAAAATTTATGTCAAATGGAATCTTGATGTTTTAGAAGAAAATCTGATGTTTTGGAAGATTTGAAGCTAATATTGATTAAGATATAAAAAATTCATTATACCAACAAGGAATAAAACAAATACAGGGATCCTTGAAATTCCTTGTAACTTTCTGATTATACAAAATATATTTTAAAAGAGCACTCTTAGTAGCTCCCATGGAGTCTAAATTTTGGTGGGAATGTGTGAGAGCAGTTGTCTGAACAAAACTAATTAACTAACCTCATCAACAGTAAGAGCTGTATAGTATCAGACAACACTAGAAACAATCCTATAACAGCTGTATGCAATAGTCTCTACAAATACTTACCACTAGTCCCATGGTGCTTTTCAAAAGGCAACTAGACTTTCTTTGTTTTTTTTTCTTGAAGATTGGTTTTGCAGTTCTGAAGAAGCTTTTTGGATGAGAAGCAAAATGACTTCAAGGAAAAAACAAAGAAAACCCATCTCCCTTTGGAAAGGACTTTTGGGAAAACCATGAGCTGAATAACAGAGAATCTCCATAGATACTTACCACCAGGTTTCCAATCACCATCACCATCATGAAGACTGTCAGGCAAAGGGCTTGACCTGCAACCTCCATACAGTCCCACATGGTTTCTATCCATTCTCCACAAAGAACTCGGAACACGATCAAGAATGAGTGGAAAAAGTCATTCATGTGCCAGCGTGGAAGTGTGCAGTCTTCTGAAATTTTGCATTTACAACTGTCATAGTTTTTACCAAACAGCTGCATACCAACCACAGCAAATATGAAGACAATGATAGCTAGCACCAAGGTCAAGTTTCCTAAAGCTCCAACTGAGTTTCCAATGATCTTTATTAGCATGTTTAGAGTTGGCCAAGACTTTGCCAGTTTGAATACTCGAAGCTGAAAACAGTAATGAAGAATTCATATGTAAGAGAAATTTATATAATTTATATAAATGAGGAATTGGTACAGGCTGGGATGAGAGCCATCAGGACAGACTATTAGCTGTAAACTTGTAGCCTTTTCACTCCTCCAGTACCTATTTATAACACTGCAAACCCTCTCAGATTGCAAAACTTGTCAATTTTCAGCAGTGAGTTTTTGTTGTTATTGTCTCTCTTAAAATTCTCCAATCTATTTTTTAAAAGTAACAAATACAGAACTCTGCTTCTGTGTCACCATAAAAGTGAACACCATTTCACCAAACTAAACTCAAAATAAAGAAAAAAAATCCTGCTCTACTTAAATATGTTACATACTGGACAATGGGCTTTAGTTACAGCTCTGAAAACATAGGCTTCTTTAAATACATGTTCATGTTTCAGTTTTCATTAGGCTCCTTGCTTTTTTGATTGTTGATGTGCAACTAATTGCTAGCACAAACTGAGAAAACATATTAATTAAAAAAAAAACCCAAATCATCCAATATTCTTTCTTTACCAGTAGCAATTTTTGGAGGGAAAACAAAGACCTCATCCATAGACCTTTCTCACCATGGCATCAAAATGGATGTTAAAGCTTTTGTTGAGGATATGCCCTCACCGTGGAACCTCCATTGTAGAGCCAGCCTGCTGCTGAATCAAGGCTGAAGCCAGATCAAGATGATCCATCAGGATTCCTCCGGGAGACATATCATCTCCCTTGCACGCCATCTGAGCAGGTCAGTGACTTGGAGGACCACTGCAGGAGTGCCCCTCCCATTTGGCCAGGGGGCTTGCTGTCTCTGTCACAATTTATGCTTTGGCTTTTGGAGACAATGGAATGTCCCAATAACCCAAACTGTCTTTCTTTCATAAGTTTCTAGTACAGTGGTTCTCAACCTGTGGGTTGGGACCCCATTTGGGGTCGAACGACCATTTCACAGGGGTCGCCAAACAACGCAGTCTGCCATTTTTCCCCCCTTTTCCTTAGCTGTGCTACTCCCTTTTATTCTATTGGCTTTTGAAAGCCAATAGAATAGACTCTCTTGAATAGAGTCTAATTCTATTGGCTTTCAAAAGCCAATAGGAATTGTCCAGGCTGTCTCTGCCCTGCTGAGCCCGCCAAAAGTCCCATTCTGCAAACGGTGCTGCACCAGTTGAGTAGTCCTCGACTTACGACCGGTTGAGTAGTCCTCGACTTACAACCGGTTGGGGGTCGCGGCATTAAAAAGGTTGAGAACCACTGTTCTAGTAGCAATTTCAGAAAGTTGGCATTACTTCCATTATCCTCAGCTGCTGCTGGCAATAACAGCAGGAAATCTGAGATAGAAAGGGTTGTTTCAACCTCCCTGCTTCCCCTGTCTGGCTTCTGCCCTTACTTCTGTGCTTCTCCCTAGCATCACAAAACATTGTCCTGTCATGCAAATGTAGCAATTTTCCTAGCTTTGTTTTGGAGGTATGTTATGAACGCTGTGGGGACAATGAATGGGTATGTTTTCTTTCAGTCTCAAGGTTGAGAGGAAAACATATAGCGCTCTCTCTCTCGCTCTCTCCCCCTCCCTCCATTTTTGTGTATAGGAAAAAGCCATAAACTTGACAGCTTTATATTTGAAGGGGCTTGCTGCTCATCATTCTGAATGCTTGTGAAATCCAGGCTGTAATCAATTCCAGAATGGCCTAGAAATTTCTGATTCCTCAGGGATCCTGAGTTCTTTCCAGGAAATACAACGCTTCTTATTCTGCTTCCTTTTAATCTGCTCTTCCTATACCAAACACCTGCCTATCACAGAGATTATTTATGTTCTCTATTGTTACATTCTATGTAGGTAGATGCTATTAATGTTGGAAACAGAATAGTCATCTCTCTCAACTTTAGGTATTCCACATAGGTTTTCTATTCTAGTAAGAATGGCTAAAATGCTTCCTTTGGAGAAAACTGAACTGTAGATCCCTCCAGTATTTTCAACTTATTCCAGATGAAGTGGATTTTTTTGGGGGGGAGGGGTTGCTTCCTCCAAAATGCACATCCCAAACAGGGAGTTTTCATTCTCCTCTAATCAGAACCCAGCAGACTATTTATGTAATGACAATGCGTCAAATCAGCCCGTTTCTCTCTAAGAAAATAATTATAACATGGATATTCCATCCAAGTGTTTGCAAAACCTCTAATGAAGATCCTGGTAGATTCGAAAATCCTACTTTGGCTTTTCTAATGTAAAACTTCTGCTCTGTTATAACAATTTCTAGATAGGATAAATGGAGTCTGTCAATTCCAGAGATATTATACAGTATGTCTTCCTGCTTGAGTGAACTAATCTGCAGATATCTGCACAATATGCTAGATGCACCAAGTCCATAATCCACATAGGAATTTTATCCTAAGGAAAATTGCAGCTGTGCTGAAAAAAAAAACAAAAAACCCTGCAGGTCTGATATTTACCAGTCTGAAAGATCTTAAGACTGACAATCCATCCACTTCTTGAAGACCCAGCTCCATTAAACTGAGGGTTACAATGATGCTATCAAAAATATTCCAGCCTTCTTGGAAATAATAATAAGGATCCATGGCAATTATTTTGAGGACCATCTCTGCAGTGAAGATTCCAGTGAAAACCTAAATGTAGAATGCAATCAGTTAGTTATTCCCATGAAAACATCATGTATTCTTTTGTTGTTTGTAGGCATACAACTCAAGAAACAATACTTGAAATACAGTGACAAAAACAAATGTTTAAACCTCATTTGTGCTCCAGCTCCAACTGAGGAAATACACGGCTTGACATAATTTTAAAAGAGCTGAAGTACAGGAGAACTTACACCATAAGACAGGTCATGAACCATGGAAAGGTTTGTTGAAAACAGCATGAATTAAAACTTTCAATCATACAAAAATAGCCTTCTAGATATGTGGGACTTCAACTTCCAGAATTCTCAGTCAAACAGCATTCCCTCTATAGTCCTAAGGTTGGAGCTATAATTCTGAAAAGAAGCAACAGGGCCATGGAAAATCTACATTTTCCATAAAATAGACTCCAGATTTAATCTCGGGAAGGATTTTAATATCATCGTGGAAAAAACAATTATTATTTGCTATATTGATGATTCCTGCTAAAAAGGGACTAATGCCTGACTCAGATTTATATTTTCAAAAAGTTTAGAGAGATTCATTTTTGAAAAGCTTCCTTAGAGTTTAGCAGGTTTATGAATTATAAAATTCTTTAATATAAATTTGACTTACCAGATTTCCATTTTTAAGAATACTACTGAAGGAATCATCAATTGGATAATGTTCCATGCTCATGAATAGAGTATTTAAAATAATGCAGATAGTAATTCCAAGATCAACAAATGGATCCATCACAATTAAATGAAGAATTCTCTTTATTTGTAACCAATTATCAGAACAATTCCAAATCAAGTAACTGTGGGCAAACTTATACCAGCATGGCGGACATTTCTGTCTTGATTCTTCAAGTTCTGAAGAAATTAAAAACAAACAAAAAACCCCACCTTATACTAATTTCATAATTTACATTCATCAGAATACAATAACTTCCCAAAAATCTGATTTGCAGATTCATTTCTATGAATTTTCTTAATTTAATTTTCTGCTACAGCACATTTCAAATACTTAAATATTTAAAAGGACAAATCTATTTCACAAATATTGTAACAGTTGGTAAGGCAAAGAATGAAGTCCTGATTATTTTATTTATTTATTGCCATTACACAGAAAAGCAACTGTAGGTAGTGCACAATAAAAAAACTACTGTACAATCAAAATATTAAAACAATTACAATTAAAAATACATCAAGCAATATTATTATTTATTAAATAGAGAAAAAAATACTGTTAAAACAATGCAGCCATCTTTTTAGATGACTATTTCCTTGAGGTTCTTAAGCAGCCATGTTTTGAGGGATATCTGGAAGGATATCAAGGATGGGGACAATCTCACCTCAAAGGTGGGGGGGTAGGGATGGTGGTCCACAGAACGGGCACCACACTGGAAAAGGCCACCTCCTAGGTCACACCAAATAAAACTCTTTTCACAGAGGGCAGATGTAACTGGGTGGAGGTTATCCTTCAAATAAGCTGGCCCCATGGCATGGAGAGCTTTAAAGGTCAAAATCAATATCTTGAATTGGATCTGGAAGCAAACTGGTACCAATGAAACTTGCAGAGCAAAGATGTGACACGTGCCATTCTAGGGGCACACATAGCTGCCTAGGCACCATATTTTGCACCAGTTGAAGTTTTCAGATACTCTTCAACAGCAGCCCCATGTAAAACTCATTACAGTAGCCCACCCAGGAAAAGACCAGGGCATGACTTTGTATCAGTGACTTGTGAGTAGAGACTTTGTCAACAGGAACAGGCACAACCCAAAACTGTATCAAAAAATATCCTGCATCATCTTGGGTATGATGACTGGAAAAATGATGGAACCATCCTGTCCCAAATGGGGATTCTATAACCGGCACCCCATTGCTCAGCTGCAGCCATATAAGAGGACAATAGGGTAGAGCTCTCCTCCGAGAGTCCATTGATCTAAATGTAACTTCAATTCAAAAAAGTGTGTAGAATTTATTCCACCTCTGTTTCTTCCTTACTATAACAAGACACCTAAATCAAAATTAGGTGTTAATTAAGGCTGTCACGGTTTATTCTAGTACTTGAAAAAAATCCTTTTCTAAAAACACATCTGGTATACTAATTTTTTTAATAGGCAGATTATCAGTATATTTAAGAGAGAGGACTTCACTTCTATACTATCCATCTTCTTAGTTTTAGTTCTTATTTAAGTCTTACCTGTAGGAGATGACCAGGCTGATCCAGAGAGAGGGATCAAATGCTTCATCATTCATGAGTCCCTGAGAGCCCACAAGAGATCTAAATCCAGCCCACCTTGAATGCCTTTCTTAACTCCCTCTAATTTCCCTTGACTGTTAGTAGACCAGATTCTTGTAGAGAGCTTAAGCTTGTAATAAATCTTAATACTCATTTGAACTGCCTGAATCTCCTGATTTCCCCGGCACTTGACATTACCAATTTTAACCGCTTATCATTTTGTAAGCCACCCAGAGTTACTTTATTTTGTGGGTAGCATATTATAAATAAATAAATAAAGTTTAAATTATAAAATAGACTATTAAGAAAAGAATGCTACTTTGAGAAATATGAGATTGTAGACCTGCCCAAGTGAATTGTTTGACACATTAGATCTTGAATGGTCCAAATCAACATTTTTCCTGTGATTATGCAGGCATGAAACAATGAATGTGTTTCTCTATCATCTACCAGTACTACCATCATTCCATTTTCATTCCAATATCTCAGGGGCTGCCATAAAGAAGAGGGAATTAAGCTGTTTTCCAAAGCTCCTGAAGGCAGGACAAGAAGCAATGGGTGGAAACTAATCAAGGAGAGAAGCTACCTAGAACTAAGGAGAAACTTCCTGACAGTGAGAACAATTAATCAGTGGAACAGCCTGCCCCCAGAAGCAGTAAATGCTCCAACACTGGAAGTTTTTAAGAAGAGACTGGACAGCCATTTGTCCGAAATGGTGTAGGGTTTCCTGCCTGAGCAGGGGGTTGGACTAGATGACCTCCAAGGTCCCTTCCAACTTTACTACTATTACATTGCACCTAAAATCTGTCGCACCAGCTAGGAACACCTAAAGCCAGATACACCTTTTCCAATGATGGCATATCAGCAGACCCACTCTCCAAGAAAATGGAGAGTGTTTTAAAGTTTTATAGGTGTTATGTACATCCTGAATTACATGTTCTGATTGATTCCAAATCTCTGCAAAGCTTAATAAAGCAGTTTTTTTTCTTGATTAGAACCTTATTAGCTTTTTAAAGCTCTCCGTATACGTAACAGAAAAGTAAATCAAAAGTTTCATAGCATATTTCCTATATTAGGCACACAACTATATGCAGAGACCTACCTTCCATCGTGTTTGTGATAATGCTTGCTATGCTCATTGCTCTTTGCCTTATGGTGGGGTCTTCTAGCAAATCCATTGATATCTGAAAAGAACTGGACCGTCTCTTTTTGCTTTCCATCTCAGAAGCATTACTCTACGGTGAAGTAAGAAGACTAAATTATCAAGATGATTATAGAGATATATACTAGAAATATAATCCAACAAATAACTTCATGAATTTCATGCTACTGCACATGCACTGAATCTTTCCATATTTCTTAAGCTTAAACATATGTCAACAGTAGACTGTATTTTATGCTTGTACATGTAACCAACTAACCCTGCACCTCTACAACAGGCCATCTTGCATCTCAGGCGCTCTTGAGGGCTCTCATGCAAATCTTGTTATGTTATTTTGAAGTTCTTGTCTATAAATAATTGAAACTACATTTCAGGTTTCCCCAAATCACACTTGGATCAGGATTATGGATTAGGTTCTTGACCCAGACTTTAGCAGGAGTCAATCTATAGTCTCAGGCAGCACATTTTTAAATTTAGTTTTGTAGATCCTCTTTGGTGCAAGTAGAATCTGTTGGCATAGTTTCCTGCTATTTTGAAATGGAGTATATACAAAAAGTATAATGTAATGTAGGCTTAGATCTCTAGAAATACATGGGGCGCTGGTGGAACATACACAAATATTAAGAAAAGAAAGTGAAAAAAGTTAAAATACTGCCCAATAAGGGAAAAAACTCCAGAAAACGGTGGCCTCCCTCAACACTATGTCATTACTATCCCATTGACTTAGTCCCATTGTCTTCTATGTATTGGTGAATATGAGTCGTATTTTCTGTAGAACTGCAACTTTAATTGAAATGATCGTGAATATTCGTTTAAGCATGAAAATGCATACTAGAGATTAGAAGAATTAGTTTTATGTTTAGATAACCTGACCTTTCTGAGGGTCCAGAAAGAAAAAAATTAGGTCATGCAACAGAAGTCATTTTAGCAAACAGCTTTATGTTTTTGAGCCAGTGCTCCTCCAGGCCTTCAATCCATTCTGGACAATTGTTTAAAAAATTAATAACAAATTTATCCCAGGTACACCTTGTTACATGCTCTATTGCCACTAAATCAGCCTAGCAATAAAAATGTAATTGAGCTTCAGCATGCCAACCAGAAACCAGGGAAGATACTGTATGGAGCTGCAAACATAGTATGTGGTAAATGTGATTGCATCCCTTTTTAAAATCGGGAAATGAGCTTTAATACAGTTGGAGGACCCTATAGTGAAGAAAAGCTTGGCTTGTTAATGAGGGGGGATGTTAATCTTAGAACATACCCTTGAGTACAAAATAGTTCGTTCACAGAGAACAAAATGAAGGTCCTGATCCTGGCATGGATGGCAGGATAGTAAGCCAGGTAGATTTCACCCTCCATTCTCCCCATAATGGTCTCCATCCAATCATATTACCTAAGTGTAAATTTTTGCAGCTCCACACAAGTTTATGTCTATAAACACACAAAAAACCCATGGACATTCCAGGCTCAGTGTAGGCAAGATTTATTTCCTTCCTTCCTGCCTTTTTTGCAAAGCTGGCTTCTAGGAGACCTGCTGCCTCAGGAAGTGGCCTTACTAGGCTGTAGTGCCACAGAGCATGGAAGAATGCTGGCCTTGTAGCCAGAGCATGGAATACTTCACATTCTATTGTGATAGAAGTGCCTTCTTGTTAAGGAAAGGCAATGAGACAGACACCTGTGGGAGAATTAAAAAGAGATAGGAACAGGTGTGGCAATGGAAGAGAGTACGTAGGGGTGCACAATTTGGGTAACAATAGCACTAGAAATAACACTTAGACTTACATAGTGCTTTACAGCACTCTTGTGAGTGGTTTACAGGGTCAGCATATTGCCCTCAACAATCTGGGTTCTCATTTTACCGACCTCAAAAGGATGGAAGGCTGAGTAAACCTTGAGCCTGTTAGGATCGAACTACAGATTGTGGGCAGAGTTAGCCTGCAATATTGCATTCTAACCACTTTGTCCCCTACAGCTCCTACCACACTGTGTCGCAAGGGTTGCATTCCCAAAAGTAGGAGCCCAAGATAAATAGGTAAGATCAAGGAAAGTTTATTTCTAACAAATAAAGTTAGTGGAATTTCACCCTTTTTGTACATTAAGAATCACATTAACAGCTGTTTTTGGAGAGGCTCTAAGGTCCATGTGGGCATCTCTAAAAACAAGGTACCGTATTTTCCGGCGTATAAGACGACTGGGCAAATAAGATGACCCCCGACTTCGGAGAAGATTTGCATGGTTAGAAAGTCGTCTTATACGCTGGAAATTACGGTGCATAATGGATCTTTTGGGCAAGGATGAGCAGGAGCAAAGCAAAAATAAAGGAACAAAGAAGAAGGTATTTGCGAAGCATAAATTAGATGTAAATATGTCAATACTTTTGGATTTAATTTTGCTAATTTAATCTTATTTTCTTTTAAATCACGTTGGGTGTGTGTGTTTGCAAATACATGCAGCAGAGGTCAGACCATTTATTTTTGTGTAGCTCAGTTTTAAAGCCCGGAAAGAGGCAATATTGAAAGCATTTCCAAGATGCAGAGGCATTCACGATTTGGATTCCATTCTGGAGGCCCATCATGCCTACACTACTTAAATCTTCCTTACACTGTCATCGGTAGTTGCTTTATCTATTATCACCTCTGGGAGAAGCTGTCCAGTAGGCGACAGGAGCACAGGTGGTCCTCCTACCAAGGAAACCACCCCATTGCAGTCCACGCTGCTCTGCATCTTCCCGTTCATTGGAAACATGGTCTGACTGATGTTACTGCTGCGTCGGTCACTATGTCTGCGTACAATAAAATAGGAACCATTCCGGCTTCCATTTTCTTCAAAGGTGCTGTGCTCACTATCAGCATCTGAGCCTCCTTCGGTAGTTGGACCTTTGAAGCTGGAAAAACTGGCCCTGCTATTGCGCCTTGTGGGAAACAGCATTGACTAAGGAGACAGAAATTGAACCATCAAATGAAAAATTGTAAATCATATACAAATCCAAGCTAGCAAGCTAGGCAATAACTTTGAGAGGAAATGTACAGTTGATCTTAGGAAGTATGACATGATCAAACTTCTAAATTGATTTCATGGGGGTCAGGGTCAGGGAGATAAAGCAGGGTCCCCAACCCTTGGGCTGCCGCCCACTACCAGGACATGGTCCGTTCAGGACCGGGCTGTGGAGATGGCGGGTGAAAGTGATGCGCATGTAGCTCCACTTGCATGCACAGTGGGTGGGCAAGAGCGTGTAAGCAGCTCCATTTGTGCGAGTGTGGGTACGCATGCCTGCTGCTTCTGCAAATGGAACTGCGTTCATGCTCACACGGAACCATCCTCTCCCCCTCCCGCTTGTCTGCAAAGCCGGAAAAGTTGGAGCCCGCTCGGATAAAGGAATGCAGGTTTGACTCAGAAATAGGGAAGTAGAACCACAAGTCATTACAAAAAGGTTACTTAAGTCTTGGCAAAGTAGAAAACATGAGAAAGAAACTCAAAATATTCAAATATTGTTTTCTACCACCTCCTCTTGCCTCCACGGATACTGTCTATGATCTCAACTTATCTCTTATTTGGGAGATAGCCATACTTCCAAACAACCACTATTGTGAAACAATCACTATTTTCATTTTCTAGAAATATCTATATAGCTCTATGAGGCTTATAGGCTTTCTTAGGAACATGGTTAATAGTGCTTTGAAATATGAGAGCTGTTCTATTTTTTAAAAATTAAAAGAATGTTTAAGAAATAATCAAGATCAACATGGTCAAATAGCTGGATACATATCAAGAGCGATGTCCTTGGGCACTATTCTCCCCCACCACCCCCAATTTCAATATATGCTAAAAGGTACTTCCAAACACAAAAAATTTACTGCATCAAAGGGCTATCAATAAAGCTCTACACATTAAAGGAAAATTCAATTATAATTAGTGGTTCCATTGAGATGATCATCTTTAACTGGTAGAATCCTTGTGCTACCAAGTTCTTATTAATAAGTCATGAAAATGTCCATACAGTACATTTAAATAGGTTATTTGGCTATCAGAGATATAGCACCATTCTGTCTTTCCAATATATCAACAAAGACCCTACTGCAGGCATCCCCAACCCGAGAAAGGTCCATGGCTTTTTAGGAACCAGGCTGCGCAAATGATGAAGCTTCCTCTGTGTATATGCAGGATCTAGGTAGCGTGTGAAACCACACACACCCTCCACAGTCCATGGAAAAATTGTCTTCCGCGAAACTGGTCCCTGGTGCCACAAAGATTGGGGACTGCTGCTCTACTGTCTTTGTTAGAAAAATCCTATTCCTCTTTCCCCAAATTTCACACTATTACCTCCTTCTTTTCTGTTTGGCTTTCTAATAACAAAAAGAAACTATTGTTTTAAGTTCCTCAGGTTACTGCAAGTAATGACAAGAACCTGAAGCCCCGAAGGACATAATCTGTTTATATACGACTTCCCTTACGTGAGGGCCATAAAGTGTGATTCAGGCCCTCGTCTGCAACCATTTGGATAGATATACCACAACATGTCTGACCTGGTATGGAGAAATGACCCTATTTTCATATGCGAGTCTATTTCCTTCCAAGGAAAATCGAAATCCTTTCCTTCTGATGCTGCTATCTGATTCCGATTTTGGAAACATTTTGCCATTGCCTCCGGGTTCTCCAACCGACAATTCTCTTTGTCGTCTTTTTTTCCTTCGGTTTCTTCTTTCTTTAGCACTTTTGGAGCTTGATAATTCTGAAGATGTTTCTGAAAGTCTTCCAAGAGCGCCATCATCCCTGAAATCTTTATAAGCTGCTGCTGCCACCAGTGCCTATCATATGAAGGGATCAACTATGTAAGTACTCTTCACACAATTTAATTAGTTAGCATGGTGCTTATTACTCCAACAGAACACAGCTTGAAGAATACAAGTGGGCAAAAAGAAACATGCATGTATCAAAATATTAGCAAATGAACACCCACCAAAACAGGGGCTCTTAATCTTTTTCTTTCATGGATCCCTTTGAGAGTCTTGCGACACCTATGGATACTTCCTTAGAAAAACGCCTTTAAATGCATAAAGTCAAATACATAAATAGATACTACATTACAAAGGAAATGTATAAACTCAACCACATACCAAAATATTTAAAAACAGCAATATGGAATGCAATATATGTGTTTCATTATTAAGCCATTTAATCAACACAAGCTAAGTTTCAGTTAAAATAAATTACAATTTTCCCTACTGAGGTTCATGAACCCCTTGAAATTTATCAGAATGCCTGATATACAGGTAGTCTTTGACTTACAGCAGTTCATTTAGTGACCGTTCAAAGAGACAATGGCACTGAAAAGAGTAACTTACAACCATTACAGTATTCCCATGGTCATGCAATCAAAATTCAAACACTTGGCAACTGACTTATATTTAAGAAGATTGCAGTGTCCTGCAGTCATGTGATCCCCTTTTGCAACTTTCTGACAAGCAAAGTCAACAGGGAAGCTAGATTCACTTAACAACCATGTTATTAACTTAACACCTGCTGTGATTCACTTAACAAGGCAAGGAAAGTCATAAAATGGAGCAAAACTCACTTAACAAATGTTTCACTTAGCAACAGAAATTTTGGGCTCAATTGTGGCCGTTAAGTCGACTACCTGTAAATATTTAACTGATATATAATAATGAGAATTAGAATCTAGCCTGTGTGTTGTGTGTTAACTTTAGGTGTATCATTAAATAAGCCAAGGTACTGTATTTCATACTCTGTACATAATATCGTAATAGCGTTCTTTCCATTACTATGAGCACCCATCTGGCTCTAAAGCTCTGAAACCCAATCTCATCCTTATGAAGAGTAATAATACTATGTAATACCCTTAATTTCCTGTCATCCTTGTTGCTGTTGCATCTGTACTACAACAGTTATTTGGCATTTGACAGATGCCATATGATTCATATGCTTTCTATATGGTTGATAAAGAAAAGACATAATGAGCCCAGATAGAAATCTGTTTTTATAAAACATATCACATCTGGCACTAGTTTACAAACATATACCTCAAAAATTCAATAGATTTCTTGAATACTCTGAGATTAAAAGCAGTGCTGCATGGGAGTCTCACAAAAGTCCTTCTAAAACAGTAGTTCTCAACCTTTCTAATGCCGTGACCCCATAATACAGTTCCCCATGTTGTGGTGACCCCCAACCACTTATACATCACCGGGTGCCAGGGGCGTGGCCAAAGAAAAGGGGGGAAAATGGCGGACAGCCTTGTTTGGCGACCCCCGTGAAATGGTTGTTCGACCCCAAATGGGGTCCCGACCCACAGGTTGAGAACCACTGTTCTAAAAGGAAAAGATTTTGTGCAGTTCCTACTTATCTATATTTACTTTTCTTGAATATTTCTTGAATATCCAGTACCTGAGCTTCCTCTTGTTGCCTTTTCAGATGCTCAAGCATTTGCTGATACTCAGTCTCCTTTCGCCGAGCTTCATCCATAGTAGCTTGATTCTGCTCATCATAAGCCATAGCTACTACTGCCAAGATCAGGTTGATCAGGTAGAAAGAGCCCAGGAAAATCACCACGACGAAAAAGAACATGTATCCTTTGCCAGCAGCCCGCAAAGTCTGGGAAACCAAGTAGGAACTACTAGGTTAGTAAATGAGTAAATGTTAAAAGTATGTGTGTATCTCTCTATATTTATATATCTTCTGTTGATGTTGTCTCTTAAATACACGGAATGAACAAACAAGGCTTTTGTCTTGGATCTATTATTCAGCAATATAAAAATCTTTCCTGAATTTTATACATGTTCTATTCAGTTCTATCACCATTGTTTAAAAATGGGTATAATGAAACTGGGAAGCTGCATTAAATGATACCAGGGTTTTCAATGCTGCACGTGAAGTTTAGCTGTTTCTCTAACGAATGATTCATAGCATTTCCTCATCCAAGACATATTCAATATGACAGGGTGGTTTATTTTTCTGTTCAGTCACTTTCATAAACAACTGCTGCGCCAGCCGAGGTGGCGCAGCAGTTAGAGTGCAGTACTGCAGGCCACTTTAGCTGACTGTGTTCAGCAGGTCAGCGGTTCAAATCTCACCGGCTCAAGGTTGACTCAGCCTTCCATCCTTCCGGGGTAGGTAAAATGAGGACCCAGATTGTTGGGGGCAATGTAAATATACATATACATTGCTTACTGGTGTACACCGCTTAGAGAGTGCTTGCACTTAAAGCGGTATATAAGTCTCATAAATAAACAAACAAACAAACAAACAAACAAACAAACTTTTGGTCCTGTCTCACAATTAAAAGTATTATTTTTCTCACCTGTTGATAAAGGTTTTCCCAGGCATCCTGAGTCATCAGCCGAAAGAGTGACAAGAAAGCCCAGCTAAAGCTATCAAAGCTTGTATAGCCATAGTCCGGATTTCTACCTATTGGTACACAAGTGTATCCTTGTGGACACTGCCTATAAAACAAGATGATGAAATGAACATTTTTACACTTTCTATTAAGTATATGGAATATGTCTCAAAGCAAAAGTAAAGGAATAACTGCGTTTTGTACCTTGAAATACTGAGATGTGTAGTAACGCAAACTGTATGGAACAGTTGAGAATAAAAACTTTATAGTGGCTTATTTAAATATTCTTGAAGAATTCCGTCTTTGAAAACTCTGATGAATTCTAAACTAATCCCATAACCAGGATTAATATGAGAAATTACCTCTCAAATTTCATACTTCTTCATATATCAAATGAAATGCATCAATCAGACCAGAAACTTCAAATGCACTTTAAAGTGCTTGTTTTAGACTGAAATAGTTTAGAAATAAAAATTGAACATATAGCAACGTATCAGGCACATTAAAAATCAAAATACAAATTACTATGCGGATTTATAAAGATTTGAAGAATTTGTGGATTACAAAAAACTTTGTACATATTCAAGGTTGACATGAATCAGAATCAGACTAGCCTCAGAAATTTAAGGACATATATTACTTAAAAATTCATCACACTGAGTCCCATCAGAGTGAATTTCTGAGGTTCAGTCCCCTTTTGATGGAGTTTCCATTTTTTGCTGCTTTTCCTCCTACTTTTCTTCTTAAAGAAAACAGATAGTTTCTAGCTCTACCTTCTCAATTAATATAATTGTATGAGTATGTGAAAAAGTACCCATTAAGTTATCATGACTTTCAAGAATGATTATATTTTGTTATCCAATTAAAGAAATGAGGTCTTTGCATTAAACCAAACTTTTATTTAGTGCTTTACACTAAACTGGGCCTGTAAAACAAAGTATTTCGGTGGCTTGAATATTCTTTCCATATTATAAAGCAAAGAGGAAATATTAGATTTCTCCCATTTCTTCCCTTAAGCCAGGGCTTTTCAACCAGTGGTACGGGTACCACCTGTGGTACATTGGTATCTGACAGGTGGTACGCGACCATCCTAGAAAAGTGGTAGCGGGGGAGGGGATGCTAAGCCCAGAAGAAGCGCCGATCAGCTGGAATGTTGCAACATCTCCAGGGTCTTGTGATTTACATTCAGATGCTTGGCAACTGATTCATATTTATGACATCACAGTGTCCCAGGGTCATGTGAAGTGACCAAAACCTGCTGCAACCACCCAGCAGATGGGTGGAATAAAAAGAAAATACCCCCCCCACCCCACCTCCGCTGCCAATCCTCAACAGAAATGCTCACAACAATGAAAACCTCGGACAGGAGGAAGAGCGCTACCGGGCGGGCAGGCAAGTGTCTTGCTCGGCTGTTAGCTTGGGGGGCACTTTTTTCAGTGGCAATGCAACTTTGAACAGTCATTAAGCGAACTGTTGTAAGTCAAGGATTACCTGTACTTTATCACTTTTTTCCTTTTTGGGGGGGGGTGTCAAGTTTTTGACACCTTGCTAGGCGACTGGTGGTACTTGGATATTGCCATATCCTAAAAGTGGTACAATGGGTGAAAAGGTTGAAAAGCCCTGCTTTAAGCTACAGCTTTCTGTATAACATTCTATTATACCTGAAAGCATCCCCAAGCCTCTTATAACTTCTGCTCAAATATGTTAGCATTCAACGCAAAGTAGTTGATGGACTAGCAGATTTAGTTAGATTACTACTATTGGATTTCTCTTCTAAACTATACTTACCCAGCATCTGAATTATTACCACAGAGCAAGGCATCCTTTGCACCTTCCAAGAAGTAAAAGTGGTCTGGTAAGAAAAAAAAAACCCTTATGATATTTTCATTCATATCATAGTTAATTTTCGATTTGTTGCAAAAGACATTTTCAGACTAAGAGCCACAATCCAATAAACCGACCAGACACATAGAAAGTTGTCAACAGACACAGAACAGATATTTCTACTCTTGGTAGAAATTGGTATTCCGTGCCCAATATTTCATAGTTTTGCTTTCCTGACTGAAGAAAATCCAGAAATTTCTGTGGATGCTCTAATTTAGGGGTGTCAAAATGCTGGCCCGCAGGGAGAATGCATCATGGCAAAACCATGCCTACCCCATTGCCAGCAATGGGAAAAAAGTCGCGATACGTCGTGACAGATTACGTGACATTGCAAGTTTGACACCCCTGCTCTAATTAATAATTATATGGAATAAAAAAATTAAACAAAAGCAAGCAAAAACTTTTATGACATGCCTTTTTCAGTTATAAACTTTTAAAAACTATAATCTGAATTTTTTCTAAAAAATTCTTCACTGAGTACCTCAGATTTACGTGTTCCTGTATTGAAAAAAGTAAAGTCTTGCTATAATAAATGTATGTGCAAACCACAATATACATATAGGTAAAATAATTAACAGTCCTGGTTTTCATCCAAGAAACTAATTTCAAGTTTGTGTTATGTGCAAAATGACTATGTCTTACTTGTGTTTGTGATGTGTGTAGCCTCTACAACTCTCTTGCCCAACTTAAAGTAGTCCAAACACATCTGGAAGGCATGAGGATGGGGAAACAAGATAGACTAACACAGTGATGGGTTAACAATGCACAATCTGTTCTTCTATGTTCAATAGCAACTTGTTTATAATGTATGCAAATGTAACTGTAGTTTTGTGACTAGACTCGTTTGGAAAAAGACGAAGCAATTAGGAATACAGGTTAATTGTGTGTGTGTGTATATGGATTAAATTCAAGTAGGTTGGCTAGCCCGATTATATCATTAAGTTTTCTGAATCCATGTGATTCTTTTTTATTATTATTATTTAATATCTTTACTTTTTTGTAACAAAAGAATCTTAGGAATCCATGTGATTCTGTAAATGTTGATTAAAATCTGATTTTCAGGGTAAGGTACTGCCGAAGTGTATATATGAATTACAACTAACAATACCACTGGACAAATTGATTGAAGGGAAATTATCATTTTTCTACAAATAGAGCACCTATACATTTTCAAAGAGCCTTTCTTCTGTTGATATTGCAATTGAAACTACTAATTAATTAATCTATCTCTGTGACTGAGCATTTAGATTCAAATACAAAATATGAGTAATTGGTTATTTATTGCAGTTTTATATTGCAACTATCTTATTTGAAATGATGTTTTTACTAACAGCACAGATCTCCCTTCATTTCAGCAATTCATTTTCAATGATCTATACTAAATGAATTAAATTGATATGTTAGTTAGTCCAGAGAAGCCATTAAATAAAATTACCCCCCCCAAAAATCTTAGATTAATTATTATTTCATCATCAATCCTACTGCCAGGCAATGTCAAACAAATGATGTTTTCACTTTATTCGAAAAGACCACAAATTAACTAAATACTGGAAAACACAATGCCACCCAGTGGAACAACTGAATGATGGTAGTATGATGTGAGGTTGATTCACAGCAATACATTTTTGATTATTTTCTGAATTTTGAACTGCCCAAATACACCCAATGGATGTATGGCAAAGCTTAGATTCATATCCAAGTACTCTAGTGGATTACTATTATTGCTGCTGCTGCTGTTATTTAAACTTACCTTTATTTTCAATATATTTAGACCACATGAACTCAGTTCCATTGTAGTATTTCATAAAGTATGTATCGTCATAAGAAGCATTACTCAGGGGCCAAAATAAGCATTTATGCCTCAAGTTACCCATGAACAACTGCAATCCTATTAATGCAAACACACTCAGACAAAACAGAGTCAGGATCATGACATCTGAAAGCTTCTTCACTGACTGAATGAGGGCTCCTACAATTGTCTTCAGGCCTAAAATGAAAAGAGGAACATTATCCCAAATTAGCTTTGGTTCCAGCTCAGTTGGCAACTGAGAGGAATTAAAATATTTCATGCAAGCACTTACTATTTTCTCTTGTTGCTAAAAGAGAAAGCCTTCAAACTCTTTTGAGACATGAAATGTTTAAAAAAAAAAAGGCAACTATGCAGAAATATAAAAAGCATCATCACCTAACAGCTATGCAACTGGAAGCCAGCAATTTTAGTTATTCTTACTTTGCATAGAGCTAATGCAGGGGGTAGGCAACTGGGGAATGGTAGGGGCTTAATTCTAATTTTGAAAGCATGGGTTAATTACAGTCACAAACATTTGACATGAAAAGACACTCATTTACCAGAAGTCAAATTAGCCCTTCTCTCCAGTATGTTCTCTGTGATCCCAGTGGGACTTGAAGAGTTCTTACAATTCCATAAAACACTAGAGGGTGCAGTTTTGCTTTCAAGCATGATGGTTTTATATACATATATAAAAGGACTTGTTAAACACAGCCAAGCAGGATGGCAAGTAGCAAAGGTGGTGTCATGGGCATGCTGTTGCCCAGGGGCACCATGTTGCCTACCCCTGATCTGATGTAAGGGAAAATTTTACCAATAGTACATTTTTTCAAGCATGACTTAACAGAAACATCTCCTTTCAAGTCAGAAAGTGGCTTGGAAGGCAAGGCTTCTTAAGCTATATTCATGCAATATCCATGCCGTTCCTTTATTAGCATATTATTATTATTAATATTAGGTTTACTAGCAATCTAATTTTCTAAACACTAACATCGTCATTCCCGAATTATTTCAATAAACAAAAGTTTATCTGAATATGAAAAGTGCGACCATTTTTCATATTGTTGTATGAAAGAATATTTACTATTTTAATGTGCAACATACATAGTTTTCATTGCTATCTCATGCAAAAATGTGTTAAACTCAAAGGCTGATGTCTTTACCACAGCAAGAAACAAGGAATTGTTTCTAGATAAATAATCTAGATTGTTGGTCCAACAGATATTGGACCAATATCTGTTTTGACAAATTAAAATCAGCCTCTGGGTTTAACCTAGCTCTCACCTGGGATGACTGATATTGTTTTCAATGCCCGGAGAACTCTGAATGTTCTCAACGCTGAGACATTGCCCAGGTCCACAAACTCTGTCACATATCTGTAATAGGGGAGTTCACACACAAACACAATGACAGGATAAAAAGTCGGACAGGTACAAGGGACCTAACACCTTACACCACTTACATCTTACCTGGAATTACAGAAATAGTTTTCAAAGCTCTCAATACTCTGAAAGTTCGAAGAGCTGAAACATTGCCTAGGTTTACAAATTCTGTTAAATACCTGTAAATTAAACCACAGTTATTCAGAGTTGAGGTTGACTTCAGGGTACTTACCTGAGTATTTATTTGAGCTAAATCCTTTTGGTAATTAAATTATAATTAGTTTTGTGATTTTGCACTCAGCACATATAGTTGAAAATAACTCTCACTGTGTCTACTGGGAATAACACCAAGTGAATGAGTGCAAGTTTGCAATTACTGTTAATGAAACATTCACTAGCAATTTGATATCGATGACTGAAGATGCTTTACCACTTATATATGGCACTGGTTTTGTTAGCAGACTGAAACTTAGGTGTATGTATTTCCATGCTAATGTGGATGTATTGTGGTGGAATGAAGTATCTCGTCCTTGCAAGTGACCTGCATTCAGCCCTATAAAATGCAACCCCATATACAAAACTGTCAGTACTTTGTTGGGAGCCTAGTGTACACCACAGTTGTTTCCATGATTAATAAATGTATGTGCTACCTTCAAAGTGATATGGATTATTTACATGAGCAACTTGGGGCCACAAGGGTATATATGTACAGTATATGTATGTGTACTGTATGTGTATGTAAATGTGAAGATTAATGTGGATTTGTATGTGAATGTATATGTGTCTGTATTTCAGACAATTTGAGTAAATTACAACTTATGTTTGCATTATTGTTTCAACAAATGAATTTCTGACATTTAAGAAAAAAAGAAAAGGGGGGGGGGACTGAATTAGATACAGCAATTCATCCTTTACATTCAATCTGCTCCTACACTTCCAGAACCTAATGTGAAGAAACATGGACTGGACTTCAGGATTTTGCTGATAAAAAATTTTTTACTGGTAAAAGGAGATAATTATGGATCAAGAGTATTAATCACTACTGAACCAAACATGAGATTAGTAATGGTTTATTGGTAGCATCTGATGACAGTGTTTCCATTCTGCTCATACATTGAGAAAATAACCATTGTGTTTTTTTTCTAACTTTAGGATTCCTGCACCTATCTAGAGCAGTGGTTAGAGAAGGGAGGTATGCAGGGAAATTACTTTTGCCTATTATGCCCATTCCACTAAGAAAAAGCTATTTGCAATTTAAAAAAATATAATTAATGAATGTCAACATTGTCATGCAGGTGTAATATTAGTGATACTGATTTAAAAAAAAATACATACATCAGCAATGTAAAAAAAAAGGCTGAATACTTACGCAAATGAAATTACAAGAAAATCAAGCCAATTCCAGGGATCTCGAAGGAAAGTAAAATCATCTATACAGAAACCTCTTGCAAAAATTTTTATGAGGGACTCAAATGTATATATCCCAGTGAATGTGTATCTAAAGGGGAGAAAAATCCAAGCAAACTTGTCATTCCCGTAGGATTTGATTTTTCCTACTTGTTTTATTGCCTTCTTTTCCTTTTATTTGGGGTCTTCCAATATTGGAGAGATTTTTGCACTTAAAATGATAATTTTCCTTTCACTTGCCCTCAATTTTCATTCTCAATTTCTGCTCCAACAGCTTGGAGCTAAGGTCAGGAACGTTCTCTTTATCAAAAATATTATTCTACTGGATTTTTCACATTATTTTTATACTGAGCTTAAAACACCACTGAAGACATACATCTCATTAAAAGTTTTAAGACAAAAAGATTTAATATAACTTTAGACACAATGTGAGAGAAGTGTTTTTATATTCTGTCAGTTTTTAAGAGAGTTGGAATCCAATGTACCAAGTTTTTTAATACAGAAAGGTAACGTTCCTTATTTGCTGAAGGAGAGGGAAGATATATTAGAACAAGGAACTTATATTAGTTTATTATTGAACTGACAGACTAGTGATAAAAAATATATCAAAGCCTTTTTTGTTTTAATAAATTCATTTTCCAACCATGGAGGCATATGAAAGAATTAAATGTTCTATTTTGGACATTTAATTCTTCCATATTTTTCTCCATAAATTCCATGAGATTGGTTTGTGAAATTTTCTTTTTTCCTTGAGTATGTCATGACTTGTCTCTCAGTGACACCAAAATCTGCATTTCTACTGACAGATTAAAGAGAATTTATACATATTTCTCAAATTTATGATACATAATTAGATAAAACTGTTAAATGTAAACTGCCCAAGAATCTTTTTAATGCAAATTTCCCTGCTTTCACCTTTTGACATACTTTTTCTAAAGATTTCAACATCCAAATTATGCACTATATAAACTTTTTTTTTAAAAAATATAAATAATAGATTTGCACACCAGTTTCAAGACTATGAAATGTAATGCTGAATATTGTTCACAAAACTATTCAAAGCAGAATTGTTTCCCTTCTTGTGGACTTACAATAATTTTTTTACCTGTGAGTGAGGATTTATTTTAGCTGGTGATATTATAAGAGCAATTTAGAGCTCTAAAGAAAAAACTAAATGAAAAAAAAAATCTTCCTTTCCTACTATTAGCCAGACTATCCTGAGCAATGTCTATTGACAGATGCCAACACTACATCTAAACCATTACCACTTCTATTTCAATGAGCATAACTTTCAAATAAATGTTGAAACTGAATTAAATGTACTGCATTTTTTTCTTTAAAAATGTAAGTTGCATTAATAAAGTAAAGGTAAAGTTTCCTCTGTCCAGCTGTTATGGGGCGGTGCTCATCTCCATTTCTTAACTGAGGGAGACAGCATTGTAAGAAGACTTTCCATGTTCATGTCTCTAGCATGGCTATATGCCAAAGGCACACAGAACGCTGTTACCTTCCCACCAAAGGGGTACCCATTAATCTACTCACATTTGCATGCTTTCAAATACTAGGTGGGCAGGGGCTGGGGCAAGTAATGGGAGCTCTCCAGCTCCCAAGTTCAGCAACTTTAACTGCTGAGCCATCACGTGATGTCCCATTAAGTTGCATTAATAAAATTGTGTATGGTATATCTACTAATGTTCTGAAAAATGTATAATTAGCTCTTCTGTCTCGATTACTACAGTGAGTTGCCAAACAGCAGATCAGAGTATCAGGCATTGTGGCTGAAATCTGTTTTCAACTGGCTCACAAAACTCCAGAAAATTTAACAATTGGTTCTTGCAAGTCAGTATGAACCAGCTCCAACACGACCATATTGGGGGGAGGGGGAAGGGAACCAAAGTAATCCATAAAACACCATATATATATTTCTCTTGCTGTAAATCTACATCACTGCCTAGATACAGTATTATCACGAGACTGTCTACATATGATTAGGAAAACAAACAAATTGTGTACTTACTCTACCATCTTTGACCAGTCAGGAGGTTCTTTCAAAGTCATGAATACACAGTTTGTGAGAATAGTAAACATAATAAATATGCTGAATAATGTTGGATTATGTCAAGGAATATGTGACAAATTCTAGACAAATATTTACATCTATCAATTCATTTCAATATATGTCTATTCAAAAGTAAGTCCACTTAATTGAGTGAGATAAACAGCACACGTTTATTCTCTAAATAGCAATAGCACTTAGACTTATATATTGCTCCACAGTGCTTTACAGCACTCTCTGAGAGGTTTATAATGTCAGCATATTGTATTTTTTTAATTCATTACCAATCTCAGAAGATGAAAGGCTGAGTCAATGTTGAGCCCCATCAGGATCAAACTCCAATACTGCATTCTAACCACTGCGTCACCAATGTGTCCATGTTTTTTAAGATACTGGCTTATAAATATTCATTGTATGAACTGATGAATTTAATTGAAAATATATCTAAAAATTCCATATAAAAATGTTATGCCAATATAAAAAGTTACTTCCAAGATGGATCCAAAGTTTTATTCTACTGGTAGAAAATCAAATGAAATCTGGTAATATCTTTTACAACTAGCAAATTGTGTTAAAAAGCATAAACTTTTATGAGCTGTCGCTTACTTTATCAGATACTCAGGGTGGCCACAATAACGAAAAGAAAAAAAAAGAAGGGAGGTTATTCCAAATCGAATGATATCTAAAGATAGAATATTTTATCTATTTAAATACGGATTTGTTATCAAAGTAATCAAAATTAAGGAAGAGCACGTACATCTCTTTGACAAAAGAAACTGATGTTGCTGTTTAAAAAAGCAGTTTAATAAGAGCAAGTTTTATACTACCACTGTTGTAAAAGGATATGAATGAACTAAAATTTTTATAGAAATTCTTCTAAGAGTACTGAAAGGACTCAGCATGTATAAGGCAGGTGTGGCACTGAATCTGAAGATAGACTTCCCTTTATTCAATACTATGAATGTCTAATGAGAGATAACAAAACACATAAATGCAATATTGTAATCATGTTGATATTTCTTTAATTTTACATCAAGTTGCAGCTCAAACCTTCCAAACAATCATGGTTTTCTATTATGAGAAGGAATCAGTATAAGCCAGGGGTAGGCAACCTTGGCTTTTATGACTCGTGGACTTCAACTCTTGGAATGGCTGGCTCAGGAATTTTGGGAGTTGAAGTCCACGAGTCATAAAAGAGCCAAGGTTGCCTACCCCTGGTATAAGCCATGTGCTATTCCTTCCCTTCATAATTGTGCAAGAGGAGTTTTCAAAACTTTTGAATTTCATTTTACACTAAACATAGTTCTGTATAATATTCCCTGTTTTGGTATTCATTTATTTATACAACGTATTACCAGCTTTCATTTTAACAAACAATTATACTGGGGTTTCAGTACACCATTAAAACCACAAAACCTTCAAATTATGACATCTTAAAACTATAAAATCACCAGCTTGCAAAAACTTAATAATTACCACAGGATTAATGAGATCCAGAAGCACTGAATCAGTTGAAAGCCTGGGCAAAGATAGCATCTGCTGTAAATGAACTGGGAATATTTCCAGACTTGTACATCTCTTGTTGCCTACTTTAACTATTTTTTAGTATGCCATAGTGAGGTATCATATCAGGGTTCTTCAAACATGGCAACTTTAGGACTTGTGGATTTCAACTTCCAGAATTCCTCAGCCAGCCCTGGCTGGCTGAGGAATTTTGGGAGTTGAAGTCCACAAGTCTTAAAGTTGCCAAGTTTGAAGAACCCTGTATCATATCATAATTCTGTGTGATAAAAGTAAAAGTGCTCCTAGTGCACAAATTATCATAGTATATTGTTATGAGATGAATATACCATCTTTAATTTTAAGGTAGACGTATGGGGGGCTCACGTGGTTAGGACACTGGGATGGAAGTTATCAAGCCTGCGTTCAAGACCTGAGTGCTACCCTGGGGCGAGTTTGATCTCCCCTCCTTCGCTCCATCTCCTGTCAGGGACATGAACGTAGCCCCCGACTGGGTGTCCCCCAAGCAGTGGTGATGCCACCGGCTAATCGTTTCAATCCAGAAGCACCTCGGTGTTTCTGACATGAGTGCAATTTTAAGGTGACTATATTTTTCTTTGTCTGAATTATAAATTATGGTTTATTGTCATTTTTATGATAATTTTATTGACAAACAGCAGGTATGTGCAAAATTCCAGGAAGGGATCTATTTCTCCATTTACATTATGATTGTATGTTTTATTTATTTATTTATGAGACTTATATACCGCTTTAAGTGCAAGCACTCTCTAAGCGGTGTACACCAGTAAGCAATGTATATATATATTTACATTGCCCCCAACAATCTGGGTCCTCATTTTACCTATCCCGGAAGGATGGAAGGCTGAGTCAACCTTGAGCCGGTGAGATTTGAACCGCTGACCTGCTGAACACAGTCAGCTAAAGTGGCCTGCAGTACTGCACTCTAACTGCTGCGCCACCTCGGCTCATTTAAATCCATACCTGTGGCAGTTGGATGAGAAATTTTCTACTCTGGGAATAGGAATGCATCTACCATGTAGGATTTATGATAAAAAAAAAATCAAAGTAAATAATTATTTAATGGTTACTTATTTCAGTTTGCCACTGAAATAAGTAACTCAAATGGCAAATAAGGCCTCAATTTTCCATTTCAGTACAAATGCTAGTTGATTAAGCAGGAAGAGCAGATTTGTGGTGCATTTGTTATAATGTTAAAATAACTGCTAGGTAAGATACATTTACTAGCCAAACACTGCAGTCAAGGCAGTGGTGGGATTCAAATATGTGAACAACCAGTTCCCTGTGTGGATGCCATTCTGGAAGTCCATTCTGGGCTGGACAACAAAAAATTAGCTACCAGTTCTGCCGAAGTGGTGCGAACTGGCTGAATCCCACCACTGAGTCAAGGTTACACATGCACATTATGCAGAGCATATATATACTCATTTACATATAACCCATGCTCTGGTTTTAATCTTTATGAACACTTACTTTTTTATTTGCATAATAAGGGTCTAGGTCTTCCAAGGGCTCAGACACCAAATGAGGAGGAATGTCTCCATAAATTAAAGGCAATGGCTTCCCTGCTTCCAAATCAGTATTTGGCTTTGGCTTGCCTTCATCGTTGTCCTCCTCCTTCTGCTCTTGCTCTACTTTTCGTTTGTCTTTTTCCTCAGTGATCCTCTGCTCAATTGCTGCAAGTGACTCCGGAGTGAATCGGAAGAAGCAATCAGGCCCTGGCTGTGCAAGCAGTGCATGTGCCATTTTTTCATTCTGCAAGTTTTAATTACTTTTTAATTCTTATGAAAAAATGACCTATGGGAAGGAGGAAAAAATCGTAAGAGTTGAAAAGAAAGAAAGAAGCAACAAAAACAACAACAACAGGTTTTGTGTCTCTGTGTGAAATTCGTCCAAGCTGCAACAGGAAAATAATAAATAGATCCTGGCCAAGCAAATATGAACTCTTAAAAAAATTTTTTTTTTCAAGTTTTCCTAATGAAATTAGCATTAAAGTTCTAAAATTCAGTGAGAATCAACGGGATATGGTACTGTAAGCTCTAATCGTCTACATTCAAAATCCAGAACTGAAGTTTTCTTTTATTTAAAATGCCATTTAGGCATAATTGAGCCTAAAGACTTAAAACATTTGAATCACATCAGAAAATTCTATATAGTGTTTGGATCCAGCTCATCTTACTATTAAGTATTTGGTTGCAGAATCATTGATAGGGCAAGAAGCTTTTTCTTGTTCCAAAGGTATATAGCAAGAAATTCCCCTGATAACCAATAAAGAAATTTCATCTACCCATCTCCTTCATCTATTCATTAGTAATACAAAATATTTATCGGGCTGAAAGAATGGCTTTTGGATTGTAAACTGACTTTACATAAGCTGCTCTAGTGGCCTCTTTCCATTAAAAAGGAGAGAAAAAATGGGCACAGGTACAAGTAGTCCTTGAGTTATGGCAATGACCACGTGATCACCTTGCTTAATGATTCTTACCTCTGCCCTCCCCAATGTGGTCATTAAGCGACTATGCTGGTCATTATTTGGAGTATGGGGTACCTCAGTGATGGAGGAGACACTGGGAGGCCTAGAGCAGGCCCACCTGCCCCAGGCCTCCCAAGGCCCCCCCCCACTCTGAGACACCCGCATGCTCCACTTCCCATTCCTTGGTGCCTCTTAGGCCTTGGGAGCACCCTCAAGCAATGCTTTCACAGAAATTAGTAGTTTTCAAGCTCAAGGATCTTGACCGCAAAAGCCACAGGGGCATAACACCGATATGTTGCCTGTGAATGATGTAATTTATGAAATTTGCATGAATTGTGCCATGATGCATGAATTGTGCCATGATGCAGCATATGTAATTCTGATAGCTTATGTAATCATATCATGACATATGTGGTGTCACTCTATCCCCACCCTCCTGATAAGGGCAAAATGTTCCATCTCGGCTGTAAGGAAGAAGAAGAATGTGTTTGGCAAGTTGTAACTGTTTAGATGCCAAATGTAGCGTGAGTTTTAAACAGACTGAGCACTTATGATGATGATCATTATTTCTGACAACTACAGGAACCAAACACTGAAAAGAAGATGCAAGAACCACACAATGCAGAACATCACACTGCACTTTGCTGAATGCAAATCAAGCATTTGTATGAAAGGAAGCTTTTTTCCAATGCAAATAGGTGCAGCAGAGCCGGTCCAATCAGAGAAAAGGGTCAAAACATGCCTCCCACTCCAAGCACTTGTTACCTATTTTAAGAATATGTTTTAATAATTTCTATATTGTAAATAATGTCTTGTTTAATTTAGCCCTGCACTGGACTTATATGCAGTATGGAGCAAGTCCTTCTGAACACAGAGGATTTAAGTTAGAATCACGTTTGTGTTGGATGTGTACCTTGCTTAATGGATCCATTTTTACCTATGCACCAATTTAAAAGGAAAGGAATATGGAAACACCATCCAACTAAAGTAAATATTTATTTTAATCAGTCTATGTAAATTCAGCATACATTAGGCAAACTATTACTTGCTTTATATAAACAACTTGTGCATTTATAGATGCCAAGTCCATAATAATTATTCTAAAACATTATTCTCAAAACTTCTTCATGAAGAGGAAAACATAGGAAAAGGGGGATCAATTTAGGCCACAGTTTGATTAAAACTGAGAGCCAGTTTGGTCTTCTGGTTAAGGCACCAGGCTGGAAACCAGGAGACTGAGTTCTAGTCCTGCCTTACGCATGAAAGCCAACTGGGTGACTTTGGGCCAGTCCTGTTCTTTCAGTCCAATTTAGTCACAGGGCAGTGGTTGTCATAGGGAAAACAGTAGGAGGAAGGAGATATGTTCCTCGCTTTGAGTTATTTATAAAAAATAACAAAGGCATGATTAAAAAAACTAAACCCTCCCCCAGAGGACTTCTATTGCAGGTGTAGTAATAGCAATAGCACTTAGACATAGATACCGCTTCACAGTGCTTTACAGCCCTCTCTAAGCGGTTTAGAGAGTCAGCATATTGCCCCCAATAATTTGGGTCTTCATTTTATCGACCTCGGAAGGGTGGAAGACTGAGCCAACTTTGAGCCTGTCAGGATCGAACTGCTGGCAATCAGCAGAATTAGCCTGCAATACTGCATAAGTGAGTAAGAAGGCATCTGGTTTCCTCCACCACATCATATCTTTATAACTAATGGATGATCTGGCTTTGATAAGGTGAAAACTAGATGTCCTAGTGCAGGGGTAGGCAACCCAAAACACTCAAAGAGCCACTTGGACCCGTTTCCCACCAAAAACAAAACACTGGGAGCCGCAAAACCCTTTTGATATCTAAAATGAAGGTAACACTGCATATATCTTTTTTTACCTTTATTATATGTGTGTGCGTGTGTGTGTATATGTGTATATGTGAGTGTGTGTGTGTACACATACATACATACATATATGTATATAGGTCTTTGGTTATTCGGGTTTTCTCCTGCGTCAAATTGGAAGTGTCTTGGCGACGTTTCGACGAAGTCTCATTCGTCATCTTCAGGCTGGTGTTTTCGGCTTTGTGCTTCTAGGAGCAATGTGTGATCATAGCTGTTTCTTCCTTTTAACTGCCAGTGGGGGTATGAACTGATTGGGTGAGAGCTTGGCTGTGTTCTGATTGGGTGGAGGTGTGTTCTGATTGGTTAGGAGCTTGGCTGTGCTCTGATTGGGTCGGGGGGTTGGCTGTGTTCTGATTGGCTGGGGGAGTGTTCTGTTTGGGTGGGGGCTTTGTTGTGCTCAGGTTAGTCTGAGTTGTAGGGGGATGTGAGATGGTGAGCTGCATTGCTGTTGTTTGGCTTCGCGTTTGTGGTCGTGCCTCATCTTCATGGTGGGTGTCAGTTTGCTTCATGTATGGATTTGGAGGGGTTTAAAGTGGCTAATGATGCAGCTGTGATCTGGCTTCTGGTTTGTGGTCATGCCTCATCATCGGTGTGGGTTTGGGTTTGTTTTTTGCGTGGATGTGTGGTGGTGACATTCTATGTAGTTTTCGTGAGTGTGGGTCTGGTGTCATTCTTTGTGTTAGGGACTTGTTTGTCAATAAGGGCGGGTTTCCAAATGGCTGGTAGGCAGGAGGTATCATCTCGTGTATTCATGCTGTGTGGGCATTTTTCTATCTCGATGGCTTCTCTGATTATTCTGTTATTAAAGTGTTCAGTTTTGGTGATAGTTCTGGTCTTTTTAAAGTCTATTTCATGTCGAAACGTCGCCAAGACACTTCCAATTTGACGCGGGAGAAAACCCGAATAACCAAAAACCTATAAATACCCGCAAAAACCTCAGAAAACAAATATATATATATATATACACATACATATAATAAAGGTAAAAAAGGATATATGTAGTGTTATCTTCATTTTAGATGTCAAAAAAGTCTATCTGTCTCTTTCCCTCCCTCCCTCCCTCCCTCCCTCTCCCTTTCTTTTTCTTTCTTTCTTTCTTTCTTTCTTTCTTTCTTTCTTTCTTTCTTTCTTTCTTTCTTTCTTTCTTTCTCTTTCCTTTCCCCCCTCTCTTTCCTCTCCCTCTCTTCTCCCCCTTTCTCTCCCTCTCTCTCTCTCTTTCTCCCCCCCTCCCTCTCTCTGATCTTCTGCTCACCTGGCAAGCTGGTTTCAAACTGTTCTCTGACAAGCTCAGGGGTAGGCAACCTCGGCTCTTTTATGACTCATGGACTTCAACTCCCAGAATTCCTGAGTCAGCATAGCTGGGCTAGTTAGTTCTCTCCTCCCCTTCCTGCTTCTTGCAGAGATGCAGCAAAGGGAGGAGCCCCACCCAAATAAGCTTTTCAGCTCATCGGAGAATACTGTGATTCCACTTTTTTACACACACACACATACACACACAGAGAGAGAGAGAGAGAGAGAGAGAGCGCAAATGCCTCTCTCTGTCTCTGTCTCTCTCTGCAAATGGCAGAGGAGGCTGGGAGCCACAGGGGAAAGCTCAAAGAGCTGCATGCAGCTCCGGAGCCACAGGTTGCCGACCTGTGTCTTAGTGGACCATCGTTTAAGCCAGCAACCTGCTGCAGCTGCCAAAAAAGCCAATGCAGTCCTAGGCTACATCAACAGAAGGATAGCATCAAGAACATGAGAAGTGATAGTACTGCTTTATACTGCACTGGTAAGACCATATTTGGAATAATGTGTCCAGTTCTGATCATCACAATAGGAAAAAGATCCTGAGACTCTAGAGTTCCTGCCTGAGCAGGGGGTTGGACTCGATGACCTCCAAGGTCCCTTCCAACATTATGATGATGATGATGATGATGAAGTTAAGAAGAGCAACAAAGATGATGAAGGTTGGAAGCTAAACCATACAATGAATAGTTAAGGGAATTAGAAAGGTCTAGCCTAACAAAGAGAAGGCTTAGGGATGGCATGATGGCAGTCTTCCAATACTTGAAGGGTTGTCACAGGGAAGAGGGTGTCCATTTATTCTCCATAGTACCTGAGGCAGGACAAAAAGCAGTGGATGGAAGCTCATCAGAGGGAGATCCAACTTGGAACTAAGCAGAAGTTTCCTGACTTTGAGAATGATTAATCAATGGAACAGCTTGCTTCCCAGAGTTGTGGGTTCTCCATCACTGGAGGTTTTCAAGAAAATATTGGACAACCATTTGTCCAGGATGGAATAAGGACTTCTGTCTTGGGCAGGGGGTTGGACTAGAAGACATCCATGGTCCCTTCCAGCTCTATGATTCTATGTCTATGTCATACACTGTCTGTAGTTCCTTCAACCTTCCTTCATGGAGTCTAGGCCTCATATGTTTCTTTTCGAAAGCACTGC